CAAATTAAAAATAAAATATAAAACAATATAAAAATAATAATACAAAAAAGCGAAACAAATAAAATAAAAAGCAATATAAAAATAAATAAAAAATGAAAAATAAATAAAATAAAAATATGTATATAAAAATGAAAAATGAAAAAAAAAATCAATCTTTAAGTAATCATAAAAGTTTAATGAAACTAAAATAAAAACAAAATATAATTAAATTAAAAAATTAAATTTGATGGAAAATATATTAATGTAATAAACCACAAATATATAAACTCCTTTAATAGCAAAAGTAAACATAAAAATTACTTGATCAAACACATAAATCCCATTACCAAATACATTTCTAAGCATAATTTGTTCAAGGCTCTTCTAGTTTTATATTAATTTTTGAGGCCTGCTCATCGATCCAGCTCCTGAGATGCGGCACACTTGTGTAAGCAGCGGGAATATCTTTGTCGGCGCACTCGATGCCCCAGGAGACGATGCCGGCCAGCTGATAGCGCTTGTTCTGCCCGGCCATGCTGCAGAACAGAGGTGATCCTCCGTCGCCCTTGCAGGTGTCCTTGCCCTCGACGCCTCCGGCGCAGAGGAAGCTCGAGTCCAGCTTGAAACGTCGCCCCAGCACTGTCCGGCGCAACAGCCTCTGGCAGTACTCGTGCTCCAGCACGGGCAGATCGATGCGCTTCAGTATGTGCTCCATGCGGGGAGCCGAGAAATTACGATGGCCCCAGCCGGTGGCAAAGCACTCCGCCTCACGCAGATCCTTCTGCAGCGCCGTGCTCTCGGCCGCCGGCAGACAGAGCGGCTGCACGTGCGGCGCCAGCTGAAAGGGCTGCTCCAGCACCAGCATGGCGATGTCATTGTGAAAGTTCAGGCTGTTGAACTGCTCGTGGCGCCAGAGGTTGCTTATGCGACGGCTCTGAAAGGCGTACGGCTCCTCGTTGCTATTCAAGTCATATTCGCCGGCTCGAGCCAGCAGCTCGTCCGCGCCAAGCTCGGCCACATTGTGGGCGCTGGTCAGCACCAGCTGCGGATGGATCAGTGTGGCGCCGCATATGTATTTGCCCTGCAGGTCCATCACGGCCACCATCCAGGGGAACTCGGCGAAGCGCGCCTCGTGGTCATTGTAGCCAACCAGGGCGTAGTAGAGGCCCGTCGGATTGCTATAGCCGCAGCCCTTGTACTTGAAGTCGTTCAGCTGGCGTCGCACTGGATTATCCTTCTCATCCAGCTGCAAGAGTTGCCATTCATTTAKATATCAATTTCAATTTCAATTTCAACTCCAAATGCCTCACCTGATCGCCAATTGGGCAACAGCTCTCGAATATGCCGCAGCCCGAGTTGCTGGCATTGTCAATGCGCGGCTTCAGTATGAATCGGCCATCCTCGTTGACGGTGCCCGTGCGGCACAGGTGCCGCGGCACACACAGACTCCTCACGTCGCAGCTCTTGTAGTCCAGCTTCGCGTCCACATCGATGGGCATGCCTGTTGGCATCTGCTTCGATCGGCGCGTCGCCATGCTGGCCTCGTAGCTCTCCAGCTGCGCCTTGTCGCAGCAGACGAGTCCCGCCCCACAGCTGCGTCCCAGAATGCGAGGTCCAAAGATTCCACTGCCCGAATCATCCGTCTCGTTGCAGCGTTGCTCACTGATGCAAATCTGATCGCTCTTGCAGAAGCCCAAGCTCCAGCAGGCATCGCCCAGAAGCAGCAGCACCAACAACTTCAATAGGCGCTCCATGCCAAATAAACTTGAATTGAGCAAGGGGAACAATTTGTTCATAATTAATAATTGTTAATAATAGAAGGTAAGATACAGTAAAAAAAATGTAAGATAATTGAAAGTGAGTAAACAACAAATATCAATCGATGAAATAAAAAAAATAATAAA